ACGGGAGCCCATGTAATAGACGTGGGCACTTTGAAGGTGGTGGATTACAAATTACGTGATATCCCTGCCTTCTTTGTTTCCCTTTTCTTCTGAAACGTCTTCAGTAAGGGATTGCTAGGTTCCAAAAAGCACCACAAAGGAAGTGCAGGCTTTCTTTTTCCTGATGCCTGCTCCTGCTCGCTTCCCCTGGCCATCCCTCAGAGCTGTCCGGTGTTCTGGGAAGACTTTTTCTGGAAACTGACCTCGTACATATAGGACAGCAAATTCCAATGAATAGATGAAAGGCTGCTAACTGCAGCATTGCTCCAGTCAGTTAGTCCAAAACCTCAAGCTGAGGCAATATTAAATGTGTGGTTGTTGGGCCTGCCCTTGTGACGGTGTTGAAGGGTGGCTCTCTGGGGATGCTGTTGCTTCCCTGGGGCCTCAGTTTAAGAAAGGCAATGTTTAGGTGGGGATGTGAACCTAAACCTCTAAAAACGCACATTCTTTATGCTACTCTGATATAGATCTTCTGTACAAATTTGAGAGTCACTGCAGCTGAGGTGCTAGAGAGATGCTTAAGTATCTTAATTCTGTTTATTTTAGCAGATAACTAATGTTCCAGGAAGTCTTTGTATACAATGGTAAGATTCTGATTTAAAAAGGGAGAAGAGAATAGCTCCCTATTTTGTGACGGTTGAAGTAATTCTTCGTAGATCTGAAAAAACATGGTTTGTTGCAGCTAAAGGACCTTGAAAATCAGTGCCTGATTGGAATGACTGTGGCTTACCAGAGGGCTGTGTTCCCCCTGTGTTACTGATGGAGCCACTGTGCTCCTGGAGGCATTTAAAGACATACATACACAGTTTATGAACAGTGGTGCTGCTATTAGCGATTAGAATCTGCATGCACGCAAAGAGCATGGATAAAAATAATGAAACAAATTACAATTTGTAATAGAAAATTATGTACACCATAGCTTAAAACATGTAAGGCACGGACTCCACTATATAAGGCAAGCTGTTGGAAAGTTGAACCCCAGAGTCTGCTGTTTGATTGTTGGCACACGGTATTCAATTTGGCACAATAATGTGCTGCCCTATATAATTGTCACAAATGTCAGGCTCCCCAGAGAAGTGTCACAGCACCAAACCTGTCAGAATTCAAGGAGCGTCTGGATGATAAGTACCCGTGTTGTGTCAATGGAAGATGCAGATCCTAGCCTGAACAAACAATGTTTTGTGGCAGTGTTGTGAGAATAAACCCGTAAGACTGAGAAGTTCTTGTGTTATAATAGGATATAGGGGTTCGAAAAGGGCTATTTTCTAGTCTGTTACGAGAACACTTGTGTGGCTTTAAAAATATAGTATTCCTTGTGCCACTAAAAAGCGATTGTCTAAACTTCTCTGTGTCTTAGGAATCATGAATTCTCCAGTCCTAGCAAACTGCATCAAAAAGGGAGACAGTGAAGAATTGTGAACTGGGCAGATTTTCACATTGTTTTTTAATTATTATTATTAAATAAAACCCAATTAAGAAAAGCAGCAATTAAATTATGAGTAATCTATCAATATGAGGTGAGAGCTGGAACACAGCAATGATACTGCCTTTGGTTTTTGCACTACTGGTGGTTTCTGACACCATGTTCTTCATTATGGAGGGTGCTTAAACCTTTCACAGTGGGCCCTGTGGATTTGTCGTGGCAGCGGTTGTAGGCTTGTGACTAAGCGCAGAGGACAGTTTGGGTCTGAGCTCGGCAGCACTAGGGAAGTGGATGGCTCCACAAGCTGACTATATTAATAATGTAGGAGCCAGAGGACAAACATTTTTTTGTGATTTCTTCCAGGTTCTGGGAAAGATGACCACTCTCACACGGCAGGACCTTAACTTTGGGCAAGGTAATATACGTGCTAAGCTGCAAACTGGTATGCTTGCAAGGCTTCTTGTTGGCACATGAGCTTCTGGAATTGTTGTTGGAGGGTTGCTCTATCCCTAAATTTCCTGCAGCTAAGGGGAAGCAGGTGAAAATTATGCAGGGAAAAATACCTTAAAAAGAATAATTCCTATGAGTATATGGTATTGCTCCCCTCCCTACTTCAGCATCCTTTACTTTTGTTTTTCAGTTGTTGCGGATGTTCTTTCAGAATTTCTGGAAGTGGCTGTTCACCTTATCTTATATGTCAGAGAAGTTTACCCTATTGGGATCTTTCAGAAGAGGAAAAAATACAATGTACCTGTCCAGGTAGGACATTCTCCTGGAAGCTGACAGCCACGTGGACAAACAAAATAGCAGGGATCAGTCAACACTCACCAGAACAAACTAAATCACTTCCAGAGTTTGTTTTAATGTGCAAACTCTTTTTTGAAGAGAACTTAGTTCCTGTCAAAAGGGAAAACAGCCCTGTAGCTGAGGATACAGCAGTACTCATGGAACAAGCAGATCATGGACAACAGTAGTAGAAGGCTTCCCCAGCTATATGCAGTAAGGTAACACGAAAGCATGCTTCCTAGGAAGTAGAGATGGTTGGAATATACTATTCCCAATATGCTATTGCGGGTATATATTCCCAGTATACTACAAGTGTGTGGGTACAGTGATCTGCCTCAGCTAATTAACCCTTCCATGAAAGAATTACTGGTTTGAATTGGCAACTTAGTGGTGAAAAATTCTATTTGAAGCATAACTCAAGTGCCTTGTAACACATTGGTGCTTCTGTTTAAGTCTTCCCATTTAACATTGTCCTGGTTCACATCAGAACACAGCTCTGACTATTCACTGTTTTTGCTACAGATGTCCTGCCACCCGGAGCTGAATCAGTACATCCAGGACACACTGCACTGTGTAAAGCCACTGCTTGAGAAGGTAAGAGCATATCAGGGACCTGGGAGAACGTAAATACTGTCTTCATTGCAAAATTTATTTACATATTTACCATATACAGTATACTTGCTGATAAAGTTACTAACAAATATAAATAATGTCCATAACCTTTCCTTGCAGTTAAGGCCCAGCCTTGCTGCTGATCATTGGCATTTAGTTGCATCTTATACATGCAACATGAGGATATACAGCTGTATCTTTTCAGTTACATCATCCTACATGTTAACATTCTGCTTTTGAATACATTTAAGTTTAAGCACCTATCTGGCAGAATAGTTTGAATGCTTTGCTGTACGCCAGCAAGCAAAGGTAGGTTTGAACTCTAGGTTTTGTGAGAGAGAGATATGACCATATGAAACACTTCAGGATGCAGGATGCTAACAGATTTTGCATTCTCTGCTCTTTACAGACAACCTAATCCATGTTTAGAGGCTGGAAATAAGTCAGTTTTACATTGCAGTAGTACAAAGCTGCTATATTTGGCCAGCAGTCTAAGCATACCTTAACTTCCTTGTCCATTCCTGAGTGGTGCAATGAGGTGGCTGTACATTTCCTCCTTTGTTCCAAAACAGTATCTAGAGAAATGTACTATTTAGTGCATTTCCTCTCCCTAGGCCTTAGCGAGAAGCTCTCAGTTTAACATCTAGCAAGAAATGGCTTAGCAAAAGCTTTTTTTTCTGATCTGTAATAATAATCTGACAGCTATCAAGCTTTGGATAACTGCTAGTGCCGTGAGCCACAACAAATAAGCATACTCCCACTTTATCAGAAGTATGTGAAGCACACTGGGGGCAGAAGACAGCTTATTTTAAGGGAGGGATTTTTCTATCTTTGTTCTTGCAGAATGATGTGGAGAAAGTTGTAGTTGTAATCCTGGACAAAGAGCACCACCCTGTGGAGAGATTTGTCTTTGAGATCACCCAGCCACCTCTTCTTTCCATTAGGTAAAATTTCCATTGCTGCTTGCCTGTAGCATCCAACACCTGCCTCTGCAGAGGTGTTCTAGAAGCAGCGCTTTGCTGCATGCCAGTAACAACTGCTGTCTCCTCAACAGCTCAGAGTCCCTGCTGTCCCACGTGGAGCAGTTACTGCGTGCCTTCATCCTGAAGATCAGTGTGTGCGATGCTGTGCTTGACAACAATCCCCCAGGTAAACGTGTCTGTACAGCCTAATAGCGTAGCATTGCTTGACTTGAGACAGCAGGTGACGTCTGAGCCTTTGTTAGTTGCCCCCAGTCTGGAGCCTACCATTTCTCTTGCAGGTTGCACCTTCACAGTTCTGGTTCACACACGGGAGGCTGCCACACGGAACATGGAAAAGATCCAGGTGATAAAGGTGAGCAGTATCTTTGGCTACCTGATTACGTGTGAGCAAGCTGCAGAGCAAAGACTGGAAATTAAAGAGTTTTGGCATCTCTAAGGTTAAGGCTGCTAGATATCTTGAACATGCATGTTAACTTCACATGATACACCGCACAACTTTGCTTTGAATGTGTTAAAATGGTTTACACTGGTAACTGGAGCACATTCACCACGCACCAGCCACAATTTCAGACAACAGCTGCTTCAATGCCTGAATTAGATTGTAACAATTCTTAGTGCATAATGCTTGCTCAGTCACTTAAAAGTACTCTGACATACAGAATACGCACTTCAACTTAAGTAACACAAAAACTCCCCTCTCATTTCACATTCACTATGTGCGGATGACTGATTCTTTATAAATAAGAAGGAAAACTAAGATTCAAGTAACTGCGGGGCGGGGGGCGCTAGGGGCACAAATACATTTTATTTTGCAGGAAAGTCTGTGCAGATCACTTTTTAAAGCAAGATTTTTTTAAAAAAAATAATTCTTGCTTAGGTACAGGAAAACTTTTTCCCCCCAAGCTAAGTTATTTTGCGTGTCCTAAGGCACAATAAATAAAGCTAGCGAAGTATAAAATTGTTTTGAAATAGAAGCCTGCTTGTACTGCTTAGTAATGGAAACTGGTAGCATAGTAGGCCAACCTTTAAACTTGCAAGGCAGGACAGAAATCCATGCCCTGAGCATTTTGGAGTTGCAGTTAGATGCTGGCGTAACAAATAAAACATGCCAGCTCAGGACAGCTAAGAGTATGTATTTTTTTTGAAGAAGTGAGATGTCACCTTTGGAATAAGTAAAATGAGTTTACATTATAGTTTGACGCTGTAATTGAAGATAATTATGCTGAGTCTCAGGGCCAAGTGTGCAAGTGTTAAGTTTTGCTGTTGGGAAAGGTTTGAGTTACCGTTTCTTCCCTCAGCCACTAGATCTCTCACCTAATGCTGACCTAGTGCTGAGAAAGAGAGCTCACCTTACAGACCCTCTCTGCAAATAAAGCACCTTGTGTTCCTGCCCCTAGGATTTCCCGTGGATCCTCGCTGATGAGCAAGACGTGCACATGCATGACCCTCGGCTTATTCCCCTGAAAACTATGACATCTGATATCTTAAAGGTGAGCAGAGCATTCCGGCCCAAGAGGTGGCTGAAACTGCACGGACGTCTAAGCTTTGTCTACTCTGATGTCAGCTCTGCCCTTTTCTGTACAGTAACAGTTTTAATATTGCTGAGCAGTATTATTGCTTAGTCTTGCAGATGCCTGTGCCAGTAATCAAAACCAGGGGCAGGACTCCTCATAATAAAATAGAAACCTGGTTGCGAGGGGATGTACAAACTCTCCCTATTTAGCCTGTTGCAGACTTTTTTTCCATTCACCTACCTGCATATCAAGCAGAACTGATGCTTATTTCTCTCCTCCAGATGCAGCTATACGTAGAAGAGCGAGCCCACAAAGGCACCTGATTTCAAATCTTCCTTGCCTTCAAGCCTCATCTGATCTTCCAGTTGAATAAGATATCTCACAAACCATACCTTGATAACCATCTCTTCAGCTGGCCTTCTGGGTGAATGTAGAGCAGCTGCTGCCTCTTTATTTCAAGTGCTCTTACTGCTGTATATAGAACTGACTTGGAATGTGGAGCCAGAGCCTGTTCCCATGTACGCTCATGTGTGAGAGTGAGTATAGGTTTTGTTACAGTGAATCCCTGGGGGCAGGACGTAGCCAACTGCTTTATGCAGTCACGCTTTGTACAAATCCAGTTCTCACCTTAATAGGGCATCGCCTTTGCACATTGGTAGCGATGTACAGCAGTCTGTTGTATGCTCCACTAGAGCAATGGACTCGGTGAGTGAGGCCTTACATAGTGTCTGTCCACTGTGACTGTCCCAAGTAGTCTTCAATAAATACTGAAGTTTTGCCCCAGTTGAACTAGGCCGAGTTCTGTCCAAACCAGCCTCCCCCCTTAAGTGAGGAAGTATTTTTATTTTGTATGGAGCTTTGAATTTTACGCAGAGCTTCCACCACTTTTCCATACCTTTTCTGGAACATATGTGGAATCTGTCAGTTCCCATGAGAGGCTATACAACCTTGGTCTCTTCTCCTTTCCATGGGAGAGCTGTCACCCACAAGTGGCATTAGCAAGGTGGAATTTGTCCAGCAAGGACACTTGCCAGATGTCCTACTCCTAACAGAACAGAAAGGAAACACTGTTAATCCTACACCTATCAAAGGAGGAGGAAGGCAGCCTTAGTGTATGCCTCTGTGCATACAGGGGTAGAAGATGTGGTTCATGGTATTTGAGCTGAGCTTGTTCGTCAGACAATTCAGTAACACAACCAGTATAGTACCTCCCTGCTTCCTCCAAGTAAAACGTGCAAGAATACTATAGATCAAGGTTGTACGCTGCTTTAACATTTTATATAGGGTTAGACTGTTCAGTACAAACCAAATACTCTGGTAGTACAAAGGTAGTATGGAAAAAGCCCAGCACTATCAAAAGGCACTTATGTTGTAAGGTAGCTACCTTAGGGGATTTCTTATCTCCTCTTTCTCTAGCTCTTTATTCAAACAGTGATGGGCTGTATTTGGACAGGGAAGTCATGTACTATTTTGATCATATACACTTACGGAAATGGTAAGGAATTAAGTATCAATGACATAGCATTTATGAAAAAGGGTTGACAGTTTCCTTATGCTATGAAAGGTCTGATGTGAAAGATACATGTTTTTATACATAATTAAACTGAAACAGGAAAATACCATACAAAAGTCGTCTCTCTGTAGCACAGCCATTGAAGACAGCATTGATAATCTGAAATGTAACATTTTAGCCTTATCTTTCCTAAGTTCCATAAACAAACAAGAAAAGGTTTCTATTTAAGACAGTGTTTGGCTGTAACACAAGGACATATTAACTAGAAAAAGCAGATGTCATATGTAATTGTCCAAGTCTTCCTCCTCTGGAAGGGCACTAGTAATTGCAGTAACATCCATGGTACAGGAGGATGAAAGATGAAGACAGAAGTCCTTCTAAAGGGCTGGGCCTGCAGAAGTTCTGCTGTGAATAAGGAGAACTAGCTGCTTGTATGCAAGACCAACTGTGCAAGACAAAGCCAGGACACACATCCAGAGAGTACAGACAAATAAGTGCACCTGAGACCACCCGGTTACAGTCCTGAGGTAAAAGCAAACACTTATATATTGTGCCTTCATAACAATGTCAGGGGCCCAATGGTGATGCTGCTGTTTGTCACTCGGATCCCATACCATCCTGCCCAGAACTGGGTGTCTTGGCCTCCGTGCTGAAACCAGATGTAACGAACTCCAGCTGGGTAATTCTGGAAGGTATGAGAAATCTGGAGAGAAAGAAGAAAATTCCTCTTAATTTGTTTAAATAAACCAGCACTGACCTAGAAGCTCAGACAATTACCGTATGTGAGTCTTGGTCCCAGAAAAAGCTCATTCTAATATATCTTTCATTGGAAGTGCATCATATCCCTTTGAGGGACAGGAAGAAACCCTTTCTTATTCAGCCTTCTACCCTGAAGTCTTCTCCAAGTCAAATGTAACATTAAGCTTGATTCTTAGGTACGTTTGTCACGTACGCAACAACATACTGGGGAATCCACAGCCAATCAAACCAGTTAAACATGTTTAGCAGTTTAAGTAATGTCTGCAATACTTTAAATGACATACATGCTGTAGTATAAAACAAAGCTTTTTGATCCAATAAAAACTTGGTGTTCTTGTAACTTAGTTATTTAGACAAAAACTTAAGTGAAAACCAGAAACAATTAAAGAGACTGAGCTAAAAATAACACAGAAGCCCCAGGGATACTCTAGAAAACTCTGGGCACCTACAAACCAAACCTAGCTCTTTCATGGCCCTCCTGCTTCTCCAGTGTTGTCAACAGCAAGGACTAACCTTTTGTGTTGAGTAGAGGAGGCTGAAGAGCAGAGAAAGTGGGCCAGGTAAGACTTGCAGGATTTAAGTGTCACAATACTGATGTTGGGCTGCTGCTTACCTCTCTCCACATTGCATCATTCCACTGTTCTATAATCACTGGCTCAGGGCAGAACTCCTCAAGGACAATGTAGTCCTCAGAAAGCAGCCTCACCGTAAGTTCATAGCGACACCCACAGTCAAATCTGGCAGCATACCTAGAGAGGCAGGGAGTAATCAAGGAGTTGTATACCCAGCATTCAGTTTTCTTTAGTGTGCAAAAACAGTCTCCAAGGGGACCCTCATCTGCAGGGGAAAAGGAATGTCATCCCCACAGCTATGAAGTTCTAAAACTTCCACCTATCCTGCTCTTCACAGGATTAGCCACCTCCTTACAGCCCATTGAATAAGCTTAGATTTAGTTTATCCTTTACTGAAGAGCTACAACTCCCAAAGAACTCACTCTATAGCATGAAAAGCTTCAGAGGCCTAGCTTATCTCTGGGCCAGTGCCAGAAATTCTAGTGTTCAGTGCATACACGTACCAGTCCTTGACTACAATTTCAGGCCGTTTCTCATCCATCAACTGATTCCAGTATCCTTCTTTCTGCAGGGTAATGAGTTGAGACTTGAAGCACGGCCTGCAACAGCAATATTCACAACTTCACAAAACATCTCTTCCCTCTCAACATCCACGCTTTCCCTGACAGCTTTACTCTTACCAAAAGCCTGCCCAGCCCCTGAAGGTCCACAGGGCTGACATGGCTAAGGCAAGCCTTCTTCCATAGCCAGAACTAGACTAGGAAGTGACCTCAGAAGTTGACTCCCAGATAAAAGCAATAGTTACCTACAAGCTGGATTAAAAGGGGTCCCTGGGCTTGTATAGCATATGTTAGTAACAGGAAACTACTGCTTAATGGATGTAAAAGCAGCTAATCCTCCTTTGTTGACAGCTTTTATTGCATGCTGTTAGCATGACAGACACACCTACCACTCTTAGAGGTTACAGAGCTCTGACCTTGTCGGGTAAGCGCGTCTGATTAGCTTGGCAAACTTTAACCTTTGCCCACCGCCTTTGGTAGAAGAGAAGCAGTTTGCCCACCACCTTTGTAGAAGAGAAGCAGAGATCCCATGTGGATTATCATGACTATAAAAAAGTTCCAGGAAATTCATGGTAGGGACAGAGAAATTTAGCACATGCTGCGATTAATTCTCTCAGCAGTACACCTGTCTCTTTAGACTAGTATAAAAGGTTAATTAAGCTCCTTTTCCCACACATAGGCTAAGGTTCAGTGACCTGCCTCAAGCTGCCTATCCATAGAGCCTTTGCAGACAGACAGGAGGAAGCAGATGTCCCAGCTCCAGATTACTGGAATCCAGTTCTTACCCATATGAAGTGACAAAGTATTTGTGTACTTCGGGGTCCGGAATCTCTTTTCCATGAGGTCCAGGCAGATCCTCAATTTTCCATTTATCTCCATCATTGCTATCAAGTTTCCAGTGCTGAAAGTTCTCTAAAAACATAGATATTAAAGATGAGCATTAGGACCTCACTTCAGTTTCCAGCAGTAGCTCTGCTTTTGTTAAAGAATCAGTACAGAAGAATACTAGGAACCAACTTATCAAAGTTTTCAGGTACACTCTGTATTTCCTACAGCTGAAGGTGAGTACTGTCTTCATGTTGCCATTATTTTTAATGTAGGACAACAGGTAGCAACTTCCTGACCACATCAGAAACTCATAATCAATAATAAAGTAGAATTACTGTAGTCACGTCAACAAAAATTCCCCTGCTGTCTGAACGTTCAATCCCAATACCTGATCGTTTCATTACCATATTGTACTTCCTGTGCAAATTAACTGTCATTGCCTGCAGTGCTGGGGCCTTAGTGACACCAGAGATTTTTCTGGTCGCAATTTCAGATACATATTTACAATTACTTTGTCTATGCACGGGAGTTTTATTGTGGACATTTACTTTTGGATCTGATCCAGCAGAGATTCATCAGTCGCTGGACAGTCCCACACCACCATCAGTACTTGAGTAATGCTAGGCCACTGACTCATTCTGACTGTTAGGAAACTCTTAGCTCTCTACTATAAATAATTAAACAAACCTTCAGCACAGGGGTTTTTGATTAAGTTTCTCTTCAAGTTGCAGAGCATATAGAAGACCTTCCAGTCAGAGATGCTTCTGTCCAAATTCTGAATATAGAACCCCTCGCGCTGGCACTTGCGTTTCCATAGGGTGGTCAAATCCACCACGTACCGCCACTGCGTGCAGACCAGTCTGCAGGCGCAGAGCAGGTCCCGGGCTGGGAGCAGCGAGAACAGCTCCACCAGGACATCTTCGGGGAGATCGCAAATGGTTGTCATCGCAGACCGACAGCTTCGGTGACGGGGTGTAGGGGTACGCGACGGAAAATCCCCGGGCACCGTTTCCATAGGGTGGTCAAATCCACCACGTACCGCCACTGCGTGCAGACCAGTCTGCAGGCGCAGAGCAGGTCCCGGGCTGGGAGCAGCGAGAACAGCTCCACCAGGACATCTTCGGGGAGATCGCAAATGGTTGTCATCGCAGACCGACAGCTTCGGTGACGGGGTGTAGGGGTACGCGACGGAAAATCCCCGGGCACCGGCAGCACTGATTTTCGAGAAATAAACAGATTTTACTAGTTACTAGCAGAAGTACGCGAACGACCG